GGACTCGCCTGAGTCACTAAAACCAACCTGATTCACTAACAAGTGCGAAAAAGAGAAGGAGCGACCGTTAACAGATGTGCTCTGTGAAACTAGTTGGCTGCTGAGTCTGGCTAAATCACAGGGGGAAGAAGGACGAGACATCTGGATGGGGGTCGTAGAAATCAGACGAATCCTTTCTGGAAACCAGATTGAACAGAGTTTACTTCAGTTCTGGACAGATTTAGGAAACTCAGTTGATCCGTTAGATGGAGAGCTGGCAGCACATCTCCCCTCTCAGAAGAGGAAGTAGTGACTGAGAGAATAGAGAGTGAAGGAAAGGGGGCAACAATTGTTGCCGCTCAATTGTTGTTGAGCGGCAACAACAATTCAGTCATTGAATCAGTCATTGATTCAGTCATTGATTCAGTCTTTGATTCAGTCATTGATTCAGTCAATGATTCAGTCAATGATCCAGTCATTGATTCAGTCATTGATTCAGTCATTGATTCAGTCTTTGATTCAGTCATTGATTCAGTCAATGATTCAGTCAATGATCCAGTCATTGATTCAGTCATTGATTCAGTCATTGATTCAGTCTTTGATTCAGTCATTGATTCAGTCAATGATTCAGTCAATGATCCAGTCATTGATTCAGTCATTGATTCATTCATTGATTAAGGCATTGATCCAGTCATTGATTCAGTCATTGATTCATTCATTGATTCAGTCATTGATTCAGTCAATGATTCAGTCAATGATCCAGTCATTGATTCAGTCATTGATTCATTCATTGATTCAGTCATTGATCCAGTCATTGATTCAGTCATTGATTCATTCATTGATTCATTCATTGATTCAGTCAATGATCCAGTCATTGATTCAGTCATTGATTCATTCATTGATTCAGTCATTGATCCAGTCATTGATTCAGTCATTGATTCATTCATTGATTCATTCATTGATTCAGTCATTGATTAAGTCAATGATTCAGTCTTTGATTCAGTCATTGATTCAGTCATTGAATCAGTCATTGATTAAGTCAATGATTCTGTCATTGATTCAGTCTTTGATTCAGTCATTGATTCAGTCAATGATTCAGTCATTGATTCATTCATTGATTCAGTCATTGATTCATTCATTGATTCAGTCATTGATTCAGTCAATGATTCAGTCATTGATTCATTCATTGATTCAGTCATTGATTCAGTCAATGATTCAGTCAATGATTCAGTCTTTGATTCAGTCATAGATTCAGTCAATGATTCAGTCAATGATTCAGTCATTGATTCAGTCATTGATTCAGTCATTGATTCATTCATTGATTCAGTCATTGATTCAGTCAATGATTCAGTCTTTGATTCAGTCATTGATTCAGTCAATGATTCAGTCAATGATCCAGTCATTGATTCAGTCATTGATTCATTCATTGATTCAGTCATTGATTCATTCATTGATCCAGTCATTGATTCAGTCATTGATTCAGTCAATGATTCAGTCATTGATTCAGTCATTGATTCAGTCAATGATTCAGTCAATGATTCAGTCATTGATTCAGTCATTGAATCAGTCATTGATCCAGTCATTGATTCAGTCATTGATTCAGTCATTGATTCATTCATTGATTCATTCATTGATTCAGTCATTGATTCATTCATTGATTCAGTCATTGATTCAGTCTTTGATTCAGTCATTGATTCAGTCAATGATTCAGTCAATGATTCAGTCTTTGATTCAGTCATTGATTCAGTCAATGATTCAGTCAATGATCCAGTCATTGATTCAGTCATTGATTCATTCATTGATTCAGTCAATGATTCAGTCATTGATTCATTCATTGATCCAGTCATTGATTCAGTCAATGATTCAGTCATTGATTCAGTCATTGAATCAGTCAATGATTCAGTCATTGATTCAGTCTTTGATTCAGTCATTGATTCAGTCTTTGATTCAGTCTTTGATACAGTCATTGATTCAGTCAATGATTCAGTCATTGATTCAGTCTTTGATTCAGTCAATGATTCAGTCATTGATTCAGTCAATGATTCAGTCATTGATTCAGTCATTGATTCAGTCATTGATTCAGTCATTGATTCAGTCATTGATTCAGTCATTGATTCAGTCATTGATTCATTCATTGATTCAGTCAATGATTCAGTCAATGATTCAGTCATTGATTCAGTCATTGATTCAGTCATTGATTCAGTCATTGATTCAGTCATTGATTCAGTCATTGATTCATTCATTGATTCAGTCATTGATTCAGTCAATGATTCAGTCAATGATTCAGTCTTTGATTCAGTCATTGATTCAGTCAATGATTCAGTCAATGATTCAGTCTTTGATTCAGTCATTGATTCAGTCAATGATTCAGTCAATGATTCAGTCATTGATTCATTCATTGATTCAGTCATTGATTCAGTCAATGATTCAGTCATTGATTCAGTCAATGATTCAGTCATTGATTCAGTCATTGATTCAGTCAATGATTCAGTCTTTGATTCAGTCAATGATTCAGTCATTGGTTCAGTCTTTGATTCAGTCAATGATTCAGTCATTGATTCAGTCAATGATTCAGTCATTGATTCAGTCATTGAATCAGTCAATGATTCAGTCTCTGATTCAGTCTTTGATTCAGTCAATGATTCAGTCATTGATTCAGTCAATGATTCAGTCAATGATTCAGTCTTTGATTCAGTCATTGATTCAGTCAATGATTCAGTCAATGATTCAGTCTTTGATTCAGTCATTGATTCAGTCAATGATTCAGTCAATGATTCAGTCATTGATTCATTCATTGATTCAGTCATTGATTCAGTCAATGATTCAGTCAATGATTCAGTCTTTGATTCAGTCATTGATTCAGTCAATGATTCAGTCAATGATTCAGTCATTGATTCAGTCAATGATTCAGTCATTGGTTCAGTCTTTGATTCAGTCAATGATTCAGTCATTGATTCAGTCAATGATTCAGTCATTGATTCAGTCATTGAATCAGTCAATGATTCAGTCTCTGATTCAGTCTTTGATTCAGTCAATGATTCAGTCATTGATTCAGTCATTGATTCAGTCTTTGATTCAGTCATTGATTCAGTCATTGATTCAGTCAATGATTCATTCATTGATTCAGTCATTGATCCAGTCATTGATTCAGTCATTGATTCATTCATTGATTCAGTCATTGATCCAGTCATTGATTCAGTCATTGATTCAGTCAATGATTCAGTCATTGATTCATTCATTGATTCATTCATTGATTCAGTCATTGATTCAGTCAATGATTCAGTCAATGATCCAGTCATTGATTCATTCATTGATTCAGTCATTGATCCAGTCAATGATTCAGTCAATGATTCAGTCTTTGATTCAGTCAATGATTCAGTCATTGGTTCAGTCTTTGATTCAGTCAATGATTCAGTCATTGATTCAGTCATTGATTCAGTCAATGATTCATTCATTGATTCAGTCATTGATCCAGTCATTGATTCAGTCATTGATTCATTCATTGATTCAGTCATTGATCCAGTCATTGATTCAGTCATTGATTCAGTCAATGATTCAGTCATTGATTCATTCATTGATTCATTCATTGATTCAGTCATTGATTCAGTCAATGATTCAGTCAATGATCCAGTCATTGATTCATTCATTGATTCAGTCATTGATCCAGTCAATGATTCAGTCAATGATTCAGTCATTGATTCATTCATTGATTCAGTCAATGATTCAGTCAATGATCCAGTCTTTGATTCAGTCATTGATTCAGTCAATGATTCAGTCAATGATCCAGTCATTGATTCAGTCATTGATTCATTCATTGATTCAGTCAATGATTCAGTCATTGATTCATTCATTGATCCAGTCATTGATTCAGTCATTGATTCATTCATTGATTCAGTCATTGATTCAGTCAATGATTCAGTCATTGATTCAGTCAATGATTCAGTCAATGATCCAGTCATTGATTCAGTCATTGATTCAGTCAATGATTCAGTCAATGATTCAGTCATTGATTCATTCATTGATTCAGTCATTGATTCATTCATTGATCCAGTCAATGATTCAGTCAATGATTCAGTCATTGATTCATTCATTGATTCAGTCAATGATTCAGTCAATGATCCAGTCATTGATTCAGTCATTGATCCAGTCATTCATTCAGTCATTGATTCATTCATTGATTTAGTCATTGATCCAGTCATTGATTCAGTCATTGATTCAGTCAATGATTCAGTCATTGATTCAGTCAATGATTCAGTCATTGATCCAGTCATTGATCCAGTCATTGATTCAGGTTGGAGCAACAATGCAAGCTGCAGGATGGCAGCTCGGGTGTTTGGGTCTGCAGAGTTCTTACTTTACCTGGCCTCTGAAAGTCTAAGGAAACCTGCTGAATTTCATCAGATAAAAACTTTTAAAACTTTTCTGAATAATTAATTGAGCATATCATGCAGTCTGACAGCTCAGATTAATTAGAATGTCTGCATGATTGAATTTAAATTGTTTTTTTATAAAGTGCCTTGAAATAACATTTAGATTAATATCAATAAATTGAACTGAACCGATAGGTTTAATATATTTATATGTTTATGTATTTGTAGGATTAAGGCATGAAAACATCAGTGCCAATAATCATTTATTGGTAAATTACAATATTATTAAAGGACTTTGTTGGAGTGTCTTTTAGAGTTACTTTTTTGGCATAAACTGAAAAGAAATGAACCTTTTTCCAAAATTGTCTGAAAATTATTACAGGTTAATTAACATTATTTTAATTAATGTTACAGAACATTCATGTAATTTGAACAAATGTAACTTTCAGTAAATTCCAGCAAATATTGACTTAAATAAAAGAATAAAGCCAAGAAAAACAGGCTTCTTTAGTGTGTGCGTTGGAGGCAAAGCTTTAGAGATTGAGGTGAATTATACGGACTGGTTGAGTCTGAGAGTTGCATTTTTATTTAAAGGTTCTTTTCTTAAAGGTGACTGATATCTGACAGCCTGAATGAAACAAAGATCATCACCTTTCACTGCCAGCCAGCTCTTCGGTGACTCTCCTTTAGAAGGATGGACACATTTGTAGAAACCTTCTTCTGCTTTAATCGTCATTTTCCCTCGTTTCTCTTTCCCAATGAAGACGTCATCTTTGTAGAACGCAGCTTCAAAGTTTGAGGTGGAGATGCCATTTTCTTTGTAGAAACAACCAAGTGTCACATTTTCTCCCTCAAAGACAGGACATGAAGGACTCTTGAGGATCACACTTCCCTCTGAAATAAAACCATTTAATAAGAATCATGTTTTCTAAAAAGATAAAAAAAATCCAACTTTAGAGTAAACTCAGTGAAAATGCTTGTCCATTACCAGTAACAGTGATATTGACCCTGTTGCTGCATTCTCCTTGCTCAGATTGACACCAGTAGACACCAGTGTCAGTTGGGTAAGCATCCTCAATGGTGCAGGATTTGGAGATTGCTAAACTGAACTGACGTTCCTGAAGAGGGCTGGTCTTTATTGTACTCATCACTTTCCAGCCACTGGAGTTTGTCACACAGGTAAGAGTGATTTGGTCATACTGGAAGAACTGGGATCGGTCAGGAGTGACAGTCAGTGTAGCTGCATGTAAAGAGCAAAGAGTTTGGATTCATGTGATTGACAATAATTGACATTATGATGAAGAGATGTTGTTTTTGTTAACAATGATAACATTATTTAGTAAATGCCACAAACCACAACTGAAACATTCATAGCTAATAATGGAATCATCATGATTGCAAAAACTAATGGAGTGGATGAATTCAATATTTCTGAAGATAGAATGAAATGAATGAAACCAAAGACTGAGGTAGTTAGAGGTAGTTTCTATGTGGGTTTGTAGCCATCCAGAAAGACTCCAGTATTGACTCACTGCTCAGGTCATTGGTGGCAACTCAGCATTTCCTGCAGCTAAATACATTGACTGTGATAAATATGGCATAACAACCTCGACTGAGCGACTCAATGACTTTGAGTCATTGAGTCTCCAAACCAAAGACTCAGTAGTTCAGGTCCCGGATGGGATGAGCTGGGACTGTGTGGAGCCAAGTGAGTGGCAGAAATTGACTGCTCTAATTTATTTGTGTCTTCAATGAGCATACCCTAATGCTCCAGACTAACATGCATTCTTTGTCCAGGATGTTGCCCTCCTTCCTGAACCTTCACTTATCTGAGTTCTCTAATAACCAGGATTCCAACTTCAAGAACTCAGCTTTCCTGGCAAAGGAGGGCAAACATGGAAAAGTGATTCAGCTGCTTTCTTGATCACACTGATTGAGTTTTTACCCCTCAAGTGTTTGTTTCCTTGTATCACTGAAAAACATCCTTTAAAATGATGAAGAGCGAACTGAGCAGATTGCATTTCTCATTTGGTCCCACCAGTTGTACAGGCAGATGAGAAACCAGAGCAGGAGGGAGAATAATTCCAACAGAGACCAAAGAAAAACTGGCCAGGACTCACATTCCTGTCTAGCTAGTCATCCTGCTCTGGCTTCTCAAAGTCTTGGGTCATGCAGGAATAAATTCAAGCAGCATCAGCCTATAAACCAGAAGATTTGCCTTGAATTTTGGCCTGAATGGGGAGATTCTGTTGCCTCAGAGCTTTTGGCCATGCTAGCATCTCTGACATTTGCTGAGAGGGTCTTTAGCATTTCATGTGACCTCATTCACTGAAATATAGAAAGAGTCATTTCAGAGAGAATAACTTTCCCCAGTTTTGTTGAGGTCATTAGACACATTTTGCATGCACACCTTGTTGAAAAGCTGTCATTATTATTAGTACAAATAGAAACATTAATGAGATATAGTTTCATTTGTTGTAAAACTGCACAAGGGGTTATCCTCACCCACAAACCATACTGCTAAATATTTTGTTGTTTTATTTAATTTGCTATAAAGACCCAGTACAGTGTTTACAGTATTCAGTGCCTTATTAATTTAATGTTTCAACACCTCAATAGTTTCTCTGAACTTTCATCAGATTTTAATGAAATGTTACGCTGTTGCTTTGGTTTATTTTTTAACTTGATCATAGAAGTTAAAAATGGACCGGGGTTTTGTAGGTTACAAAGGGGGTTAAACCAAATAGTTTTTCTGTCTCAAAACTGATGAAGATTGCCCACAACCCTGTAGTGTCTTTAGGAGCAGAACGAACTTGCACATTAATGAAAATAACAAGCGAATATATCTTTTTTGTTTTTATTTTGTGTTTTTACAAAATAAATTTATGACAATTCATGTCATAAATGAAAATGTATTCTTGTAGAACTGTTTACAGAATGAGGATGGGTATTCAGGCATGTTTTCCACCTGGTTCTATTATCATTGTTTTAGTTTCCTGGGCAAGTATGACGTCAGCAAACTACAGAGATTAAACTTGATATATGACAAATGATGTTTTTAACACCGGACTGTTCTCTCTGTAAACAATGATTTTAACCCCGTTTCTCGTGCAGATGTCTGGTGGTGGTACAGTGGTGACAAAATTTTTAATAGATTACCTAGGAAGGTAACAGGGATGTGTACATTTGGTTTTATAAATAGTTTGCATCTTAACTACCCTTGCAGAACAGTTAAAGTTGAGCAGAAACGTTCCTCATCCATTGCTTATATTTTGGACATGTTCATTGCACTTGAGCGAGCTCCCAGAAATGAATGCCTTTTTTTGAATAATAAATTTTCCTGTTGCCATCAATAATTCTAATTCTTTTGTAAAAACTAATACTTTTTTAAAAACTAAAACTTGATGTAATCTTTTTTTACATTTTGTCGACTTAAACTGGGTTAAACCAAAATGACTGCTAAAAACAGGACTACAGTGAAAAAATAATCACACAAAACTGGAAAAGAAAAGTTTTTAAAACTTGTATAAATACATTATGTTCCTGTTTTGTTTCTATAGTTACAGGTGGAAAAATTAGTAAACTAAGAGTTTGCAAACGTCAACAACTAAAGTTGCAATAAATGCTATTTTGGTAACAGTTTATTTGAAGAGGTGTGCATAAGACTGACATGACTTTGTCATAAATATGACAAAGCCTGTTATGAGCATGAAGGAGACTTTATAAATGTTTATGACTTTGGTGATTAAAATTATTAAAAAGTCATTCAAAGTGTCAACTTTGCAGTAGTCTGTAAACGACGACACTTTTAATGCAAGTTTATATCATATAGAGTTTATACCCTCTGACCTCTGAGGTCAGAGGTCAGTTCTGCTGGCCTTGTTTTCAGCTTTGGTTAGTAACCACAGTCTGTCCTAAATAAGTTGTGCATCTCTGAACCAAATAATTTACCTTCCACTCAGGGGGATGGAACAGTTTTACAGATGAAAGTGCAGCTGCTGCACTTTTTTGTTTGTTTCATTTTGTATAAATGAAATGTATTTTATTTATGAAAATAGCTCCTACATTATGTCAAAACAAAAGAAAATTGACAAATCTAGGTAGAAAGTAAAATATACATTAGTCAACGCAAAATAATTCAAATGGCTTGCATAGATATAATTTGGTTAAGTGGATATTTAGAGCAAGATGGTTACAAACTGGATTATTCCATAAAGGAAACATCTCAACATGTTACTAAGGAATGCTAACAGACAGTTGGAGGCTAAATATTAAAATAAATAAATACCAAAGTGTTGCTACTTACAGAGCATGAGGCAGAGCGAAGAGAAAGCCATCGTGTTATGATGCTCTCTTCCGCTAAACCACAAAGTATATTCAGTTTCACCTCTGCTTCTTTCAGGAAGTCAGTGGCACATAGAACAGAGCAGTAAAAATGATTATATCATCATTATCAAAGAAAATTCCTGTTGTTCTTTTACTGAATGTGTTCATCTCAGATATCCTGAAAAGTGTTTTCACAAAGTTTACAAATTTAGTAAAAGATTATCATATTCTGTTCTTTACCAGCTGAACTAAAAACCACATAAACACTGACCTTGAGTTTCTAAGGAAACAGGAAATGAGCCGCGCTGCATGTGAGAACATGAGATACCCAGTTTGTGGCTGAAACTGCTGAAACTGACATGAGAAACAGTGTGATCGCTCACATCCTGTCAAGTTAGTACTTTTTGAATTCTTCAGCAAACACATTTTATTGTGACTTTACAAAAATGTTTGATGAAACTGTCAAACTTAGAATCTCTCATCACAACAGAAGCTGCTACAGCTTCATTGTTTCAGTTGTGTCCACCTATAAATCACTGCGTCCCTGTTTGCTTAGTGTGTTCAGCAAACACACTAAGCAAACAGTGTGTGTGTTCTGTGTGTTAGTGTACACAGATAAAGCCCTTATTCATTTAAAATGTGTTGTTGAATTCCATCAATCCTGAACTGATCGTCCATGTTCTGTCACAGAGCAGGAAGGATCCAGCTCAGACATGCTGTCAACTGTCAATCACAGAGCAACACACTCACTGTCATTTGGTGAGACTTTTCATTCTTCCTGAATGCTAGCATAGCTTTTATTGTTTTACTGTTCAGTGACTCAGAATCAAGCAACTTAACTGCAGCAGTTCAGCTGCTGAATGTAAAGTGGATGGGATGAGAGTCCGATGCGGGTTGGATTCTGCCAGGGAGGAATTTAAGTATCTTGGTGTTTTGTAGTTAGACCAATATAAGCAGTTGAAAAAAAAAAAAAAACTGTAATAAGCTTAGTTTAAAGCACGCTTTCTCAAATTGCGGTCCTGAGGTTCAGCATGTAAACAACAGCTTATTTGCTGTGACATGAAGCCACAGTCCTCTCCTTGGGCTGCCACCTTATCATGGTGGAGGGGTTTGAGTGCCCCAATGACCCTAAGAGCTATGCTGTCTGGGGCTTCATGCCCCTGGTAGGGTCACCCAAGGCAGACAGGTCTTAGGGGACAAAGCGCTGCCCGAAGACCCCTATGATGTACACAGACTTTGGTTCTCGTGTTCCCTCGCCCGGACGCGGGTCACCAGGGCCCCACTCTGGAGCCAGGCCTGAAGGTGGGGCACATTGGCGAGCGCCTGGTGGCCGGGCTTTTACCTATGGAGCCCGGCCGGGCCCAGCCCGAAGAAGAAACATGGGTCCCTCTTCCAATGGGCTCACCACCTATGAGAAGGGCCATAGGGGTCGGGTGCAGTGTGTGATGGGTGGTGGCCGAGGGAGGGGGTCCTAGCGGTCCGATCCTCGGTTACAGAAACTGGGTCTTGGGACATGGAATGTCACCTCTCTGGTGTGTGAGGCTGAGAGGTTCCGGCTAGAAATAGTCAGCCTCACCTCGACGCATGGCTTTGGTTCTGGAACCAGCCTCCTTGAGAGGGGCTGAATGTACTTCCACTCTGGAGTTGCCCACAGTGAGAGGCGTCGAGCAGGGGTGGGCATACTTGTTGCTCCCTGTACGTTGGGGTTTACCCCGGTGAACAAGAGGGTAGCCTCCCTCCGCCTACGGGTGGGGGGACAGGTTCTGACTGTCGTTTGTGCTTATGGGCCAAATAACAGTTCAGCCTACCCACCCTTTTTGGAGTCTTTAGAAGGGGTACTGGAGAGTGCCCCTCTTGGGGACTCCCTTGTTCTGCTGGGGGACTTCAACGCTCACGTGGGCAATGACAATGAGACCTGGTTGGGAGGAACGCTCCCTCCGATCTGAACTCGAGTGGTGTTCTGTTGTTGGACTTCTGTGCTCGTCACAGATTGTCCATAACGAACACCATGTTCAGGTATAAGGGTGTCCATATGTGCACTTGGCACCAGGACACCCTAGGCCAGAGTTCGATGATCGATTTTGTCATCATTTTGTCGGATCTGCGGCCGTATGTCTTGGACACTCGGGTGAAGTGAGGTGCCGAGTTGTCCACTGACCACTACCTGGTGGTGAGTTGGCTCCGGGGGTGGTGGAGGATGCCGGTCAGACCTGGCAGGATCAAACGTGTTGTGAAGGTCTGCTGGGAATGTCTGGCAGAATCCCCTGTGAGACGGAGCTTTAACTCCCATCTCCGGCAGAACTTCGAACACATCCCGGGGAGGCAGGGGACATTGAGTCTAAGTGGACTATGTTCCGTGCCTCCATTGTCAAGGCGGCTTATCGGAGCTGTGTCGCAAGGTTGTCGGTGCCTGTCGTGGTGGCAACCCTGGAACCCGTTGGTGGACACCTTCGGAGAGGGATGCTGTCAGGCTGAAGAAGGAGTCCTATCGGACTTTTTGGCCCATGGGACTCCGGAAGCAGCTGATGGGTACTGGCAGGTGAAGCGGCTTGCGGCTCTGGTGGTTGCTGAGGCAAAAACTCGGCGTGAGAGGAGTTCGGAGAGACCATGGAGAAAGACTTCTGTATGGCTTCGAGGCGATTCTGGTCCACCATCCGGCATCTCAGGAGCAGTGGTGGAGCCAGAGGGGTGGCCGGTGTGGCACTTGCCACCCCCAACAGACCCCTGGCCACCCCTAGTGCCACCCAACTGGAAATGGTAATTTTAAAATATAATACTTATGAGATCGGCAAAGATTTGCCAGGGAAACTGTAATTTCCGACTGTCCCTGAAGGCAGCCCGATGCCCGATGCTGTTCATTGGTTAAACTGACATGTGGGTCCTGCTTGATCCAAAACACATCAACGGCTTTAGAGTTACACCGTCAAGGAGTTTTGCAGGTATTTATGACATTTTACCGCTCAGCTGTAACCGCTGTTACCTTCCTAATGAGAGGCGGCACTTGTCATACATTTCTAAAAAGAAAAAAAATGGTTGTGCACCGCTGCGTAGTGTCTCGTTTATTATATTAGCCATGCTAGTGCTGGTAGGTCGTGTTTTAGACAGATTCTTTTAACATAATGTTTTAGTGCAAATGCTGCCCTGTAATGTTTTATATCTCCCAGCTCTTGCTTGAAATGTGTTTGGTAAGAATATGTGAAAAACCATTAAGTTTTATAATGACTGAAATGTAAGTCGGCTATGTCATATGAAAGCTTTGAATTATAACCTCACTAGTTATACTAATTAATTTTGAACAAAAGGAAATAAATATTTTTTCCTTTCATGGAACGGTCCATTTGTATATGGACCCTCTGATAAAGCCTTGCTCACTCTTTGGCCACCCCTTGAAAAAAAGTCTAGCTCCGCCACTGTTCCAAAGCCACTGCTGACGGGATCTGGGTTGGAGGTTTGCGGCTGTAAATAGACGTTACTGCAGAATCTCAAGTCTTAAAGGGAGATTCGGCCCAATTAGAGTCACACAGCAAACATCAGAGAAAATCCTGGAGCAATAATCAGAACCGCAGCATAAAACCAAACATCCCACATATAAATGAATCAAAATGTCTCCAAAGCATCAGAGGACTGACATAGGGGCCGCCGGGGGATTCAGGTGGATTCCAGGTAGATTCCAGAGTTACGCATCCTGTTCATGCAGGGCCGGCCCAAGATAATATGGGGCCTTAGACAGAACCCTGCGGTACTAAGAACCTCAGCATCACTAACATGTTTAAATATCAATAAGGTGAATCTGTGAGAGGAGACCAGGTTTACAGTTTAAAATCAATCACTGATTATTGGTTGTTTGTTGTGATATATTTATGAACAAACCCAATTCAAACACAAAGATTATGCCATACTGTAGTAACACAACAATCAACCTATCAAGATGATTCTTTAAATTTTTACAAAGTAAACTTCCTAATTAAATCCTGAATGTACTTTTCTTCCTCAGCTGAATGTATTAAATAAATTTAATAACATTGTTATTCTCTGTAAATGATGCTAGGTTTAGATGTATGGTCTGTGTTCAACCATTTCTGGGGCCCCCGAATGTCTGCAGGCCCCTGAATGTCTGGAGGCCCCTGAATGTCTGGAGGCCCCTGAATGTCTGGAGGCCCCTGTATGTCTGGAGGCCCCTGAATGTCTGGAGGCTCCTGAATGTCTGGAGGCTCCTGAATGTCTGGAGGCCCCTGACTGTTTGGAGGCCCCTGAATGTCTGGAGGCCCCTGAATGTCTGGAGGCTCCTAAATGTCTGGAGGCCCCTGAATGTCTGGAGGCCCTGAATGTCTGGAGGCCCCTGAATGTCTGGAGGCTCCTGAATGTCTGGAGGCCCCTGATTGTCTGGAGGCTCCTAAATGTCTGGAGGCTCCTGAATGTCTGGAGGCTCCTGAATGTCTGGAGGCCCCTGAATGTCTGGAGGCTCTTAAATGTCTGGAGGCCCTGAATGTCTGGAGGCCCTGAATGTCTGGAGGCCCCTGAATGTCTGGAGGCTCCTGAATGTCTGGAGGCCCCTGAATGTCTGGAGGCCCCTGAATGTCTGGAGGTCCCTGAATGTCTGGAGGCTCCTGAATGTCTGGAGGCTCCTGAATGTCTGGAGGCCCCTGAATGTCTGGAGGCCCCTGACTGTCTGGAGGCTCTTAAATGACTGGAGGCCCCTGATTGTCTGGAGGCTCCTAAATGTCTGGAGGCCCCTGAATGTCTGGAGGCTCTAAATGTCTGGAGGCCCCTGAATGTCTGGAGGCTCCTAAATGTCTGGAGGCCCCTGAATGTCTGGAGGCTCCTAAATGTCTGGAGGCCCCTGAATGTCTGGAGGCCCTGAATGTCTGGAGGCCCCTGAATGTCTGGAGGCTCCTGAATGTCTGGAGGCTCCTGAATGTCTGGAGGCCCCTGACTGTCTGGAGGCCCCTGAATGTCTGGAGGCCCTGAATGTCTGGAGGCCCTGAATGTCTGGAGGCCCCT